CAACCTACAGTGTTTTCAATAAAATCAACATGAAGCCATCTTAACCTTGGATTTTAGGACCCACAGAGTTGCTAGTTCAAAAGAACTTAACTGCAACTTAAGTCCTAGCTGGGGGATTCCTGGTTCCATTACTGGATGGTTAGAGTAGACTGTGACCCAGAAATTCTCCTCCTCCTCTGAGATTCCCAGTGTATGGAACCAGTAGACAGGTGCTGTGTCAATGTGAAGATTCTGTCCGTTGTGATAGAATGGGACCTGGGAAATAACCACAGGATGGATTCAGGGACCCACTGAACCCACTTTGAGATGAACCTGAGCTAAAACTCCATTGATTATCTGTCTTCCATAAATCCTTACCCTGACATTTTTAAAAAAGTATTTTTATTATTTCAGAGAGGAAGGGAAAGGGAGAGAGATAGAAACATCAATGATGAGAAAGAATCATTGATTGGCTGCCTCCTGCACACCCCACACTGGGGATTGAACCTGGAACCTGGGCATATGCCCTGACTGGGAATTGAGCTGTGACCTCCTGGTTCATAGGTCAATGCTCAACCACTGAGCCACACTGGCCAGGCCACAGTAACAATTTAGGTCTCCTGGAGTGTCAGTTCAGAACCAGTGCCCAGTAATAAGTCCTGAAAAGTCTGATTATTTTCTTTTCCCTCATGCACAATTACCCTGGTAAAAGGCTGTAGGTATCTTGAGGAAGGCTGAAAGATTAACAGTATAAATTTTCAGTAATATACCAGGATCTTTCCTCAAGGGGACCCGGGATCTTTCATCCAAGGGGTTCTTCATCTATAAACTGGCTCAAGTCTTGTAATTGAACTCTCTGTTTTTATTATACAAGTTAAACTTTTGTTCACTTGACTAGAACTCTTCTGCTTATACAGATGAAGTAAGAATTAGTATCTATTTCACTTCCTATCTATTTCACTTCTAGGTGCAACCTCCATATAGGTCTGTGCAGTCCACTGCTTTGACTCCACCCTTTATAGTAACCACGCCCACGTTGGGCAACTAAGCAGTTAAAGAGCAGACACACTTGTCTTGTCAATCCCTGTCCTCTTGGAATTCACATGCTGGGGAAGAGGAAAATAAACACATAAAAAGCAAATATTTTAAGGCATCAATAAGTGCTACCAAGAACACAAAAGAGAACTCCCAGGGTCTTTCTCAGGGCCTGGGCTCACCTACATCCATGAAAGACCCAGCATGGTTTCAGGGGTAGAGCAGGTGCTGGAGTGTTTTTTGAGGTGAACTGGAGTGGAATTAGAGAAAAAAAGAGACTTGGCTGAGACCACCCAGCAATTCAGAGATAGAGTGTCCTGATGAACTCTAGAGCTACTGAGGAAAACCTAGGTGTCCATAGACAGGTGAGTTGATAAAGAAGATATTGTGTGTGTGTGTGTGTGTGTGTGTGTGTGTGTGTGTGTGTGTATACACAGTGGAATATTATGCAGCATTAAAAAAGAAGAACATCTTGCCACTTGTGACAACATGGATGATCTACAGGATATTATGCTAAGTGAAATAAGTAAGGCAGAGAAAGACAAATACTATATGGTTTCACTTATATGTGGAATCTAACAATAAAAAAAACAAATGAACAAATAAAACAAAACAAAAACAGACTCAAAGAAACAGAGACCAAAGGGATGGCTACCAGAAGGGAGAAGTTGGGGGGGGGGTGAAATGGGAAAGGGAAATACAGTCAATAATATTATGATAAATGTGTGTGGTAACAGATGATTACTAGTAACTCAAGTCACTTAGAATTAGCGTGGTGATCACGATGTAAGGTATAAAAATGTTGAGTCACTATACTGTACACCTGAAATATAGGTGGGGCAAAAATAGGTTTACAGTTGAAATACATGAAATATGGAGTTTATTCTAGCATTTTTATTAATTATTGTATTATTTTCCATACAAACAACTGTAAACTTACTTTTGCCACACTGTATAACCAATATAATATTGTATGCCAACTATACATAAGTAAAAAATCTTATGAAAAAGTCCTCTGTCATCGACTTTACATGTTACATGTTAGTAACATGACCCATAAAGTCAGCTAAGAAAGATCACTATCTTTCTTCATTTTCTTTAACTTCATTTCCCAGGTCCCCTTAGTTGCTGGATCTCACAAAACTGGGAGTTTTGTCACGTGGGCCAGGTGAGTAAGCTCAGGTGGCGGCTCCTCTCAGCCCTGCCCCAGCCGAGCGGATCTCCATCTATTCTGGGGAGCAGGGAGGCGCCATTTCACTTGCCCTGGTTTCTCCCAAGTCTTTTGCCTATGGTTCCTCCTTTCTGTTTCCCTCATGGGCAAGACTTGAAATTTCAAAGCCAGAAAGAGGCCTCTTTTTTTACTCTCCCTCTGCTGTCATCCGGAGGCAGTGAGCACAGGCAGCTTAGCTGGAGGACTGGGACGAAGAACAAAGAACAGTAAGTGCCAAACCATCGGGGACTGTTCCTAAGCATTATCCCACACTTCCTCCTCTACCATGTACTCTTAACACATTATCTCACTTGATCCTCACACTAGCTTTCCAAAAGATGAATCAGCCTGGAGAACCCGAGTGACTTTCCCCAGGCTCACAGTAAAGGGCAGGGTAGATGGACTTGGCCTCTGGACTCCTAGTCCTGTGCCAACTTCGCAAAGGCACAGTGCACTTGCCTCTGGCATCACAACTAAGAGAGCTTGCTGAGTTAGCAATACACTGTCTGTGCTTTGCCAGGTAAATTACGTTATTTAGAGGTCATCCTGCTAGCGGAAGGATGATTTATCTGCAACAGAGAAGATGATGTCATGAATATACCCAAGTAGTCTCTGCTCTGTACTGCCCTTGAATTAGCTTCTGGACAGTCCATTCATTTTGGGTATTTTGCAGCCACCATAATGGCCCTCTTCTCGGCAGTCAACTGGGCTGATCATATCACATCAGATTGGCAATTACTATTGCCATAATAATTTGGCCACCGTCAGGTACTTTTGAGTCTGTGGATATGGTTGGAATTTCCTGGATAAGACTGCAAATGGAAAGGACTGGAAAATTCAGAACTTAGGCTATTAGCCTTCTCCATACAGGCTATTGGTATTATGTAGGTAGAAAGCAGAGGGAAACTTGGCCTTTCCTGGGGGCAAGAATGCTTTATCCCATGGACTTTGAGAAGGTCCTTTAACAGAGAGCTGCAAATAACACCTGTTCTTCCTCAGGTGTCTCAAGTTGCTCAGAATTATGAATGTTGCAACCCTTGAATCCATGAACCAAATTACCTTCCCACGTCAGCGGTATATGCAAGCCAGTCTCACAGAGCTTTGAACATCAAAGACTGAGGAAAAGCTCCTTTCCTCAACCATTTCAACACAAATTATTGATTCTGATCATTTATTTTCCAAGGAGAAAATATTTTTATACTTTCCCAAACTTTCTAACCTTCTAGGTCAGTGGTTTTCAACCTGTGGGTCGCGACCTCTTTGGAGGTCGAACGACCCTTTCACAGGAGTCACCTAAGACCATCCTGCATATCAGATATTTACATTACGATTCATAACAGTAGCAACATTACAGTTATGAAGTAGGAACGAAAATAATTTTATGGTTGGGTCACAACATGAGGAACTGTATTTAAAGGGCCAGAAGGTTGAGGACCACTACTCTAGGTTTACTCGAATGGTTTACTGAAATGTATTGACTCTGATGAAATTTCCTGAAATTTGTGCAATTTCGTCAAATATTTGCAAAGTGCCCATTGTGTGCAGAATGTAGCATGTGAGGGGCTGTAAGAAGATTAAAAAAGAAGTTTATAAAAATTTGTGGATAATACACCAATCTCAGTATGTATACAAATCTTGTAGAAGAAAATCATATAAAAATTTAAAATTATTTTGAATGAGCTATAAAAGTGACCCATTAGTCTGCATGGGGAAATATTTGTGCTCTTGAAGTAACCCACTTATGCACTTTCTCTCTGATGCTTTATATTCCTGCTAATCTTAGCTCTGATTTTAAAGTACTACTCTATGTAATTAAGAAAAAAGCATGTTGTAGTTTTCTGACCTTCTCTTCTGGCAAAACTGTGTTTTGCTCTGTGGGTACATTTACCATCAACAACCACAACTGATATGCTGCTCAAATTCATAACCCAGCATTGTCTCCTTCCCTTTCTCCATTTATTTATTTTATTTTATATGATTCCTATAGATTCATCTTATGCTATGCACTTTAGAATGTCTCTAATGAAAATAAAGTGCTCAAGCACAAATCAGAAATTTTTTATTTCTACTATTTTTTTCCCTTATCCAAGCAGAGTTCCTTGGACTCTCCTAATTGAGCTTCTGGGTTCCTAAGCTTGGACTGGCTTAGTAGTAACAAGTGCTTCAAGCTCTTTAACGAAAATGACTACACCATTGGCTGTACTATGCCATTGCACTTGGCTAACAGCACAACTTCTGTTAGTTCAACAGAAAGTCAAGAACTTAAAAAAAACAAAAAAACCTATTCCATCTCAGGAAGCAGGCTTCCTACCTAGTTAAATATGCTGTTATTATAGATAAATAAAACAACATTTACTGGAGACACTCTCGTCCTGGATTTAAGAGAGTGCCTGAATGGTTCAAACTTTTAATTATCCATAATATAGGACCAGAGCTATTTCTTGCTTGAATTAAATTTTCAGAAGAAAAATACATTTATGAATGTGCTCTGCCATGGAAACAGCTTTCCATTTAAAACAATACCCATTTCCTAGAAGTAAAATACTAAAAGAATCAGCCATGAGAACATAGACATATGTTCCCTTCTCTTCTGGATGTAAATGCTGGTAATTGCATTTCTAAGAACCAGCATTATGGTCCATAAGGCTGACATGAAGATAGGGAAGGAGATGTGTTAAGGGATGATTTCTTGGTAATGAGGTCCTCTAGAGTAGAGAACACGTATAATTATGAAGAATAAACACTTTACTATAAAATATGAAGGAGAAAACCTTACCCGAATCCGGAAAGTAAGCGACAGAAGAGAAAGAAGCCATAACCTTGGACAAACGAAGAAAGGAAGGCAAAGGTTCCGTTGACAGACATGCAAATCAGAAGAGACTGTTTCCTTCCCACTTTGTCTGCCAGTCCTCCCCAGAAGAACGCACCCACCATCATCCCGAGGTAGACTATGCTGCCTGCAACACACAGAAAACAAAGAAACACGTCAGCGATTGAGAGTAAATGACACATGTAACAGCAAATGAACAAGGAGCAAAATACATTCCAGCATTTTGCATGGCAAAAGTTTCCTCTAAAAACATATCCTTTAGGACACACTCATCAGCCTTCAAGTTGGGGAGTAAGCTCTGTGGGCTACCTTTGGCTGCCATGACCAATGGCAAGGGCAAAAAACAAAACAGTCACATTCTCACCAGTTGTGGGGATGGGTACAGAGCGGGCAGGCATAAGGAGTCTCCACACAGAACAAGTCTGTAATGGGACTCACAGTTACATCACCTTTGGTCGGAATGCCTGACTTACCTCCATGACAAGGCCATGATGAGGGACTGAGTCAAGGGCTCCCACGTCAGAGTGGATTCCCAGTCTGCTTCCAGTCCCTGCCTGTAGCACATGACCTGGGCCAAGGTCAGACCCTTAGGGACCCTTTAGGATTCCATGGGTGCTTTCTCTCTAGTCCCTTCTGAAAGCCCTGGCTCTTTCTTAGGGAGGAAAGAAAGCTGGGGAAGGTGAGTTCAGAGATTACAAGATTTAATCTGAAAATAGTCTCACGCTCCGTGCACAACAGGAAACTTTTTCTCGGAGTGTAAGGAGAAGGGAAATCGCTGTCAGCACTTTGGAAATGATGCCACTCATCACAGTTGGCTTCGCTTCCATAAGGAAGCAAATGGAAAACCAAGAGCTAGACAGACGTCCCTGTGTGAGTATATACACTTGAATTTTCTAATTCACTTGCTTCTTCTAAAGACCAGGCCCTGTAAACCCTGTCCAGGTTCTTTCTCAGGATTTAATGACATTAGATGTGGCAAATGTTTCTTCAGGGAGGTTTCCAAAAGGGTGTGCAGTGTCCAGGGGAAAGGGCATAGTTAACAATGAAAGTTCGTTATATCTGAATGTGGTGTTTAAAAAGCTGCGAACACACCTTTCATTTATTTCTAACTTTTCCCTTGCTTCACCAAAGCACCATTTGAACAGCCCCTTTTCAAAGGCACATTCAAGATACTCAGCAGCATCTACGTAGTAAGCTTAAAAACACACACAAACCAACCACTGGCTGATGTATTGCTTTGGATTCATTTGGGAAATAGCCTACTTAAACATTTGTCCTGAATTCATTTGCTTACCACACTATTAATGGATCAATATAAGACCCAGAAAGAGAGCACTTGACAATCTGGTGACCCTCACATCAATGGCATGTGGATGCTGCTTTGCAGACGGCCAAGTTCAGACAGCTACAGTGAACAGCCAGTGTTGGAGCAATTGCAGAATAAGGCAAAACAAAGCTATTTTCCTTTAGACTCGGATACTGCAAAGAGGTGGCTGGCCAGCCTCATCTGGGTGGGACGGTATATTTGTCTCTGTGCTATGGGGCTGCCCATACACACATACACAGATCATCCTTTTCAATACACATACCATGGGCCCCAATGCATGTCCAGGAGACAATGCAAAGGAATGTATCAGCACAAGGCAAAGGAATTCCAAAAGCAGACAGATCCACCCAGGGAAATGCATATGCAATAGCTCTTATTTATAAGAGGCTCAAGTTTGCTCTTCTGTTTATTCTCAGAAGAGTAATCAGTAGCTAAGCTTGTTCATAATAATGTCTGTGTCTTTAAAAATGCCTACGAATCAGAATGAGAGCTCCCACAGATCAAGAGTGGCCCGTGGCTGCTGCAGTCTGAGCACTAGGGAGTCTTTCTTGAGCTCCAGCCCCAGGAACAACCACAAAAACAATGATCACTAGCACTTGCTGAACCCAGTTCTAAGTGCTTACGTGAATGAACTCATTTACTCTCATGACGACCCTTGGAGGTTAATACTATGGAAGCCCAGTTCGCTGCGGAGGAGCCTGAGGTACAGAGAAGTTAACAATCTGACCACAGAAAAGTGAGTGGTGACTACATTCCAGTCGGTCAGCAGTTCATTGTATAGTGTGGTCATGATTCCTCCAACACCCTGGCTGGCCTCCTGTGAAAACATCCCAGTTTGTCCAGGCCCCTGTGAGGTGGGTGGTACCACCTAGGATTGAAAGCAGTACCTCAACATGTCTGAGGTGCCTTCTCCCTGGGCATCACCTTCGTAGAGTTAGCTAAGTCGGGGGTAACAGAAAATGATTGACAGGAGCTAGGAGGAAATGCTGCTTCATTCTACCCTCCCATAGGACAAGGGGTACACTACTCCTTCTAAGACACTTCAAAGGGGCACATTCCCAATCCTGGTGGGGGTCAGGGGTCAATGCTGAAAACAGCTTGGTGGTGCCAAAGGGAAAATGAAAATCCAATTTGTTAAAAAGTACTGGCTTCCACGCTTTGGTCCAAGGAGGGCAACTCCCCTGCTTTTGGGTGGGGGAGGGATGATACTCCTGCCCGACTGGTCTCCACATCCTGTCATCCCCCTTCTTCCAGGCAGTCGCTTAGCCTCGTATTCACTAAGCCAGAGCATGGCTTTATGAAGCGATGATTCCAGTACGTTAAGGCTCCTAACTAGGTGCTGGTTCTCCCCCACCCAGCAGTAGTGTGAGGACACAGCCCATCCCAGGAGCTTCCAAAAGCTCAGAGGTAGTCAAGGCTGAGCTCACCCTGGACTTCTGAGATGGAGACGCTTAGGGACTTGGTAGGGGCAGAAAACCCTCATTTCTCATTAGCACTTGGTCCTTAAGCCATTTAAAAATAAAACTTTAAAATGTATTAGAGGTTTTAATATATAAAAGAGTAAAATTAAAATGGCTCATCCTTCAATTCCCCCAGATATCCCTATTAACATTTATTACACAAACAAACATGCTTACATGGCCAAAAATTCAAACCATATAGGAATGTATAAAATGAAAATAAAACGTTCCTTCTCCTCTACCCTTGACCCTTTTCCCAAAGGTTACTATTATCAATTTTTTGTAACTCTTCCAGACGTTTTATACATATAAATATATAAAAATGGATATCCTATAAGAACTACCTGTTAATACAGTTTCTTTTTCCTGTACAGTGTTTATCTTTTTTCCACTTGTGTTCAGGATTTCTCAACTAAGCAAACCAGAAATAAATCTCTGCCAGAATTTTAATAACTACTTCAAAATACATTTCATAAATTTCAGAAACGCAATCACTACCAGCTATTAGGGGAAAACCAAACAGTTCTGCTTCCATCTCGTATTATTGCTATGCCTAAAATAAATACACTCCATCTCCTTAAATGACAGGATATTAAATTCAACTTTAAAGAATTTGTTAAGCACCCACTCTACATGACTTTTCCTGAAGTGTGAGAATGTAAGGATTATAAGTCATGTTCCCTGACCTTAGAGAAGGTGAAACATAGCAAATTCATCAGACACCTACTCAGGAGAGGAGGGAGTTGGTGTCACACCCATTATTTCACACAACCCTCCAACAACCCCATCTGATTATGGCCACTACAGAGAGGGACATCCGGGCCAGAACTTTCCATGGCCTCCTGAGGACATATGACCAAGATAGAACAGTGCTGAGGAGTTCACTCAGGTGCCTGGGCTCCAAGTCTCTATACCAGTGGTCGGCAAACTGGCCCCTTGAGTGTGGCTCTACCACAAAATACCACGTGCAGGCGCGCACGTACAGTGCGATTGAAACTTCATGGCCCATGCCACGGGGCCAAAGAGCCGCATGTGGCTCGCGAGCTGCGGTTTGCCAACCACTGCTCTACACCATCAAGATGGCTCAAAGGGCTTGTAAGTCAGTGAGGGAGACAATAGGCAGATAGCTGAATGAGCCCAACTGTGAGGTGTGTGGTTTGATGGGTGCGTAACTGGGACCCCGAGGGGTGGGAGGTGGCTACTGATTCTGACTGTGGCCTCTGGGAAAGTTTTACTGAGGAGGGAACATCTGAGAGAATCCTGAAGGACAAGAATGATTTTGAGGAATTAAATTCCTCCACCACTGAGAGGTTTAGAAGAAAAGGTAGTATTAAGCTGTATCTTCACTTCTACTCTGATCAAAAATAGGTTTCAGATTCTAAGGTAATAACCTTGTGTGCCTACGTTGGGTTATTACCCGGTAATTAGGCTGTTCCATTGGGCACGCCGTGGAGAGCATTAAGCCTACCTAGTAGCTTACTTAAAACAAATGAAACAATTAGAAGGTTATTTGTTGATCCTATGATCTAATTAAAGCCAGACTTTTCAATGTTAGTAAAGGCACCATGTGACTAAAACTGGAAACCCTGGGACCATCAGAACAGAAACTGTATGTACTTCCTGTCTTGTTTTCCCATTTCCACTTTGCTTTCACGGTGCTGAATGGGGAGTCCTTGAAAACTCAGAGCAGAGATCTGCTCTTGACATGGACCAGCCTTGTCAGCTCTCTACTCATGCTGCTGCTGCTGGTCAGAATTAAAGGGTATTTTAGTTCAAAGTCCCTTATTTTACAGGCAGGAAACTGAGGCCGTGAGAAGTCAGTATTTGAAATGAGGTCTAGATCCTTGCTCCTCAGACTATAAGCCCTGGAACAACAGCACGGGCTCCCTGGGGGAACTCACTAGGAACGCAGCCTGTAGGGCTCCACTGGGACCTGCAGACACAGACTGTGCATTAGAACAAGATCTCCACCCCATCTGGGTGCACCCCTGCTGGTCTCCTAGAATCTGAAAGCACTTTTAGGCTGCTGTGCTTTCCACTGAAACACATAACCTCTCCAATACTTTTTTTTTTTTTTTACTTAAAGTTTGTATTCGTCTAATACATGTTTGAGAGGAGAAGATGCAGGCCATGGAATATTGGAATTCCGAAGACACAGAACAAGCAAGATCTCCCTACACAGGAGGGAGATTTCTAAAGGGCAAGCAGGAACTTCGGGCCCTCCTGGCACCTGTCCTCCTCAGGACTGGAGGCAGCCCTCCATGTTGAGAGAGGCCAGGCTGTGATTCCGGGAGCCTTTCAGGAGCCTAAGGGAGATTTTAATTCAGCTGGGCTTTCAGG